ATTAGCAACTGTTGTGATATTGTATATGTAATTATTTAATCAGTTTAGATGACAGAAACAGAATATATATCTGTATTGTTTGTGAACTTTAAAAAGAAAGTTTCTCTAAAGCGCCTATCTATATAAGATCAATCACGTGTTAGATCATGCAATGAATAACATTTAGCAATGGTACCTAAATTTTTCAGAAGCTATTGCTAGAACATTACTGCTATAAATTCTGTATGTGACAAACAATGTTTTCACAGATACGAAAAATAGCGATACATTCTTGTTGCGATATCTAGAAATCTAACTACATCAGCGAAATATTTTTTTGAGTATTAGATGTGATGATCATACCACCATAGCAAAACAAATCACAGTAATATCATAATGATATTTCTCTGTGACGCTTAAATATGTCATAATGAAATCGTGGTGACATATGAATGTCTGCTTTATCACAGATATAATGTCGCTATAACATCATTGTGATATAAAAAATAAAATAAAAATATAAAATAAGAAATAGAAATTTATCTACTTAATTTCTGAACAATCAGTCTATTTAAATTTCGTGTTTTGATTTAGATATTAAACTGATAGAAAGTTATTACATCTTTAATATTATTAGCTGCCTTTTGCAAGTTTGATATAATTCTCATGATTAAAACTTAAATACGAGATAGATAGCGCATAAATGCGTCACATAGCGGCAAGCAAACGAACTAATGACTAAATACTGTTTTTGGAATGTTGTAATATTTCTGCGACATTTGATGTCATATTATGATGATATCACCACGACTGTAACTATATAATGATATCACTGTAACTTTCTGATAATGTCACAATGACATCTCAATTTTTCTGTAACCTTGTGACTCTATTGTAAGTCTGTTGTAATGTCACTGTGGTTTTTTTTGCTATGGGGGTATATTCAGTTGTCTCTCGCCGTTAGTCTTTTTGTGTACCACAGTCAAACTTTGTAACAACTATTAGCTTTAACATGAATAGGCGTCGCAGGAAAACTTTCTTTCTAAATTTCACAAATAGTTCATATATAAATTCTGTCTCTGTCATTTAGATTGATTAAGTGCCAAACATATTCGATATCACAGTATTTGCTAATTATTTATCTACTTTAGCTAATTTTTCGCACCCAAAAAATTTTTGCTGTAGTTGCAAAATTATTTTTTTCAGTGTGTGTGTGTGTTATGTCATCAGATAGGTTTAGATAAATAAATTTTATATAATAATACCGATCTTAATTTTCTTTGGCTCAAATTACTCGTGGCGATGGCACCTTTTAGGATATGCTATGTGTTATTTAAAATTTCTTATATTTTAGTTGCTACAAACTCCCGAAAAGTCGACTTCACTGAAAAAAAATAATCTTGCAACTACAGCAAAAATTTTTTGGGTGCGAAAAATTAGCTAAAGTAGATAAATAATTAGCAAATACTGTGATATCGAATATGTTTGGCACTTAATCAATCTAAATGACAGAGACAGAATTTATATATGAACTATTTGTGAAATTTAGAAAGAAAGTTTTCCTGCGACGCCTATTCATGTTAAAGCTAATAGTTGTTACAAAGTTTGACTGTGGTACACAAAAAGACTAACGGCGAGAGACAACTGAATATACCCCCATAGCAAAAAAAACCACAGTGACATTACAACAGACTTACAATAGAGTCACAAGGTTACAGAAAAATTAGAGATGTCATTGTGACATTATCAGAAAGTTACAGTGATATCATTATATAGTTACAGTCGTGGTGATATCATCATAATATGACATCAAATGTCGCAGAAATATTACAACATTCCAAAAACAGTATTTAGTCATTAGTTCGTTTGCTTGCCGCTATGTGACGCATTTATGCGCTATCTATCTCGTATTTAAGTTTTAATCATGAGAATTATATCAAACTTGCAAAAGGCAGCTAATAATATTAAAGATGTAATAACTTTCTATCAGTTTAATATCTAAATCAAAACAGGAAATTTAGATAGACTGATTGTTCAGAAATTAAGTAGATAAATATCTATTTCTTATTTTATATTTTTATTTTATTTTTCATATCACAATAATGTCACAGCGACATTATATCTGTGATAAAGCAGACATTCGTATGTCACCACGATTTTATTATGACATATTTGAGCGTCACAGAGTAATATCATTATGATATCACTGTGATTTGTTTTGCTATGGGAGTATGATCCTTACATCTAACATAATTTGTATAATGCCCGTTATAATCGGCAGCTAGAACGAGCTATATTTCTCACAAGAAATATAGCTCGTTCTAGCTACAGTATCAAAACTCATTTACTCAATGCAATTATTATTTTTTGGCAATGAGACCTAAATTTTCTAGAAGATATTGCTAGAATGTTGCTGTTATAAATTTTAGATGTGACAAACAATATTTTAGCAGATACAAAAAATAGCGATACATTTTTGTTGTGACATCTAGAAATCTACCTACATCAGCAAAACATTTTTTTCAGTGTTTGAGGGCGCAGAATAAAAGACTTAGTAATGTCATTTTTTTAACTTAGCCGGAGACACTACCGCGTCTCCTGATAAAATAATATATGAGCACATCAAAGGTAACTGTGTTAAGTTTCACATAAACATAATTTTTCAGGAGAAGAATCTAAAGAAATTTTTCGCTTTTTATATTTTCTCATTGTCAATAAAATACTTAAAAATGATTTACAGTATTTTTT